AGAAAACCAGAAGTGATGATGTGGCTCAAGTGGTAAAGTGCTAGCCTTGAGCTGAGGGACAGCGCCCGGGCCCAGAGTTCAACATGACTGACAAAAAACTTAATTAATTAAATTAATTAATAAGTATTTTATTTAATTAATTAATGGACTAGACCTAGGCCTTGAGTTTAAGTCCCAACACATACAACTACCCCCCCCCACACACACACACAGGTCACTAATTAAGCATACCTACTTTCAGAATTTATAATCAACGCCATTTATGTAAAAAAAAAAAAAAGCCCAAATTGTTTTGCTGAAATAAATATTGTACAACACTGGAGATGAAAGTCAAAAATTAAGAAAAAGGGATGGTGGGTATACCCTATTCATACAGTCACAATACTTAATGTACCTATTTGAAACTGGAACTAGGGAACAGGTGGACATGGAATAGACGGGGGCAGGGAGGGCAACGGAAGGGATGGCCCTGATCAAGATGCAATGTACACATCAACGGATACCACCAATTGAAACCTCCTTGCGCAACAACCTGAAGATAACCAAAACATTAAACAATACAAATAATGATCCCGCATAAATACTCTGATGATGGAAGAATTCTACACCTTGCCCTGAAAACATCCAGGAACGCGACCCGTTTGACTCTGATGTCCCTATTCAATTCCTAACAAATTAAGAGACCTGACATTCCACGTCTCATAAATATGAGCCCAGCCTTTGTCTTCACCCATGTGCCCCATTACCGAAAGCACCAGTCTCCGACACAAAATGAGCCAATAGCTGTTTCAAGAGTGCTGTGTGCCTTCATGGGTTTGTTCAAAAGTTGTCCAAAAGTGGTGTGCTCATTCAAATGCCATTTGATCTCTCTTCAAGACACATCAAAAGGGCTACAGATCAGTAGTAGAACACTAGCCTGGCATGCATGTAAGGCTCTGGCTTTACTCAATCACGGTTGTGAGGGAACAATTTCTCAAATGCAACTATGTCCATCTAGTCTTTCCTTTCCTCTCCAAACAGAAGTGAGCTCATGCTTCTCTAAACCACTTTTGTGTCTTTGGCATCCATGCACCTAGACATGTACACACATACACACACACACACACACACACACAGACATACACATTTTTTATTGCAGAATTGGGAGCTGAATTCAGGTCCTTTAGCATACAGGTCAAATACTCTACACTGAACGACATTCCAAGTCTTTGTTATTTAAGACACTATGTGTTCCAGACTGGTTTTGAACTCACAATTCTCCAACCACCCTCCCTCCCCCGCCCCCAAATGCTACATTCACCAGTATATATGACCAATCATACTTACAAAACTTTATTATGGTTATTTACATTATGATCATTGGGTGGTTACATAATTTCCCAAATAAGGCAACTATGAAACTCCTGGTTTACTTCTGATGTTGCTTTTCATAACTCCTACTCTGCCACACATAATGCTTACAACACAAAGAGATTGTCTACTGAATAATAAGAACGTTGGGCTGGGTACATGGCTCAGAGGTAGAGCACTTGCCTAACATGTCCAATGGGCTCACTCCCTAGCTCCTCCCAAAATATAGTAAAACGTTTGTGAGGGCTGGAGGTAAAGCTCAATGACACAGCACACGTTGAGTGTGAGTTTGCTATCCAGCACCACACAAAACAAAAACACGAGTGACATCCATTAGCTGCTATGGAGGATCAAATATCAGTCAAGAGTCCAACTGATAAATTAGAACTAATTAAATACCAACATCATGTTACTGAGGGATCTGAGACTGTAAAAATCTTAAACTGTTCAAGGCAAGTTTCCTACTTTTAGCATTGTAACAAAGTTATCTTGCATCTACATCCAAATTTATTAGACTCCCAACTTGGACTCTAAGTCACACTACATAAAAATGATAAAATTCAAAGGATACATGGGTGTTTTCCCCTTTAACTAGTGATTGAAAGGAGATCTACTTTCCACAACCACCCTCAAGGGTTAGAAATAATTACAAACTGTTTATATATATATATATATATATATATATATATACACATATATATATATTATGAAGACATATGTGTTATGAAGATGGGTGTATTATCACCATAATTAAAAAGAAATGGAGGTGATAAGGGAAAAAGATTTCTTTGTATGAAGCATTTAATTATATGAATGATTTATGAGCAAATCTAATTTGCACACTAGAATAGAAAAGGCATAGGGTTGGAAGTTTGCTAGACTAGTTTGCTAAACTAAAATTATGAGTATAACACTTTAGCCCTGGTCCTTCAGCACATAACATTTCCAGGATCTACTTTCCCAAAGGTTATATGACATCAACAATAATGGCCTTCAAAAATTATGCAAATACTAGGAGGGAGCAGAAAGGTGAAAACATACTAGAGTATCCAAAAGAAACCTGCATAAACGTTGGCTCTTATTAATATGAGTAATAGCATTCTCTTTTTTTTTTTTGACAAGTGTGCTACTCCAGGGCTCTTGAGAAGAATGAAGAGACAGAGAGGCCATTACTGTTTTAAGTCCTCACAGACTCAGCAAAGTGACAGAAGAAATGGCCAGCATCCCAGCTATCCCTCAAATTGACTCTCAAGTCCATTCTCCTACAGCTAAGAAATCAAGGTCAAATCATGAATGCCAAGTTCATGAACACATCTCTTCATTTGTATCCTCAGCATTTAGTGTCACTTTCCAGGCAGCATTTTCTCCAGAAGCATCGGAAGTAGCCTGGCTTTGGCATCCGCCCTATAGGCATCCTAACACCATAGCCACTGTTTTCAGGTATTTCCATCTTCCCATCTGAACCTGTTTCAGAGAGCTGTTCCCTCCCAGAAGGGCTGCTCTGAAATCTATGTGGCTACAACAGCTCAGGCCCCAGCATGGAGTAGCATTCGGTGGTGACTGAGTCCCTTTCTCCATGCTAATACAAAACCATCCTCATCTTTGGAACAATGTGTTCTTGTCTTTAAGTGGTACTTGCCACTTCAGATACATGGCTCCAAGCTGAAAAGTGTCATCCCATTTAAGCAAAACAGGGAATGCCCATCACCAAGGAACAAATAATAGACATAGACCCTATTGGTTACGGTTGTAACCAAATCAGTAAGCTGAAAGTAATGGGCTTTTTTAAAAAAGCATTTTTAACTAATCTCTGGGCTATTCAATATCCTAAGAATCATGCTCCTGAAAACTAAGAATCTGCAGGAAGAGTCCATAAAACAGAACAACTTCTCTTGTCTTGCAGCTTTTCAAATGGAACAGAGAGAACACAGATGTGAAGCTGGGTAAGGGTATTCTGAAACACTGCAGCAAACCATCTTGCTAAACAGAAATAAATAAAAAGCAAGCAAGTGTTCTGGAGCAAGGTATAATTCTTCAAACTACTGCACCAGAGCTTGGGAAAGTCCACTGTCACTCCCTGTGATAAACAGTTACTTTGAAGTTATCAAGAAGTTACTTGGGCCCTGGGCTGATAGCTCATGCCTGTAATCTACTCAGGAGGCTGAGACCTGAGGATCCCAGTTAGAAGCTAGGGCAAAAATGTGAGACTTTATCTCCAATTAACTACCAAAAAAGCTGGAAGTGGAGCTGTGGCTCAGGTGGTAGAGTGGTAACCTTAAGCAAAAAGCACAAGGACAGTGCCCAGACCCCAGTATTGGCATGCACAAACAAACACACACACACACACACACACACACAAACACAAACACACACCATACACAGAAGTCGCTTAATTTGTTGAGAAAATTCCATTGTGTGTCTTAAGAACTTTACACCATTTTTGTAAGGGATTAAATCACTTTCCTTCAAATCAAAGATAGGTATCAAAACCTCATGGATACAACAGATAATATTCATAATCACAACTGCAAATCATATTCAGTTTTTCAAAATAAAACTTGGCTCTCCCTTTCCTCTCTAGTTTCTAATTTCCTATTTGTTGGCTGGATAAGAAGGGGTGGGAAGGACACAGAGAGCAAGCTAGGGGGAGACTGCCTCACAGGAAGGAACCCCTCAATAATTGGTCACTATGAAGGATGCACAGTGGATCAGGTTTCCTAAAGAAATGCAGCCCATTCTCCTACAAATAACTTCACATTGTGTTGCCACATATAAATGAGGATGTGATTAGCACAGTAATTACATACATGAGTGTGTGCCTATACTTGTATACATGAAGTATGCATACACACACACACACACACACACACACACACACACACTCCATAAACCCAAAAGCCTGGAAGAGACAAGAACTTGATCCACCGAGAGAAAAAGCAATCTTTAAAAAAAAAATCTGAAATGCTCTCCTGATTTAGACACTGCTGCTTTCCAGCAAAGCACGGTTGCTGGGGGCTTCTCCATTTAGAAAGTCCCCAGTCTTTATTTTCCTTCAGATAGGCATTCTCTGCTCAACTTACACCACCTGCCCCTTTCCTCAGAGAAGAAGGGCCATGGTAAAATAGGGTTGCCAGGGGAGAGGAGGAAGCAGGGATCTCTTGCACACCCCAGAAAAGGACCCTAGTCCCCCCTCTCTCCTGCTCACCGCGCCCTGCCGCTGCTGCTGCTGCTCTTCTCCCAGGCACAGACACCCAATCCGTGAAGCAAGGCCAAAGCACCCCCCCCCAGCCACCAAGTGCAGATTCACCCCACTAACACTCACCCCTTCCAGTCCCCTGACACCCACCCACCCACCCACCCATCTCCTCCAGGGGGCCTCCACCCTCCGCAGAGAGTGAGGGGGAGATGTATGGGGGCAGACGGGGGGGGGGGCTTCGGGCTCACCCACCCCTCGTGCAATCCCGGAGGTACATCCCTCCCCACAACTTGCAGGAACTTAGAAGGCAAAGGCACCCCGATCTCCAGTGTGTTTGGGGGGAGAGGGCGCACCCCGAAGGCGAAGGCTAGTGGAGGAGGTGGGCGGGCGGCGATGGCTGGGGGAGCACCCCCTTCCCCTCCCCACCCGCCCGCCCGCCCGTCCCCCTCCTTACCACGAGCACCGGGACGCCGGCGGCCAGCGAGTAGAGCAGCACCGGGGGCACGGCGCTGCTGTCCTCCGGGCCCGGGTAGGGCTTGCGGTAGGCGCTGTCGTGGCAGAAGAAGCCCTGCACGTTCACGGTGAACGTGTCGGTGTATTCGAAGTAGTACGCCAGCATCACCGTCCCTGCCATGATCACCATCTGGAAATAGAGCATGCTGCTGGCGAGCGCCGCGGGCGGCCGGCCGAGCCCTGCGAGCGGGGCGCACGCGCCCGACCCCCTCTCCCGGGTCCGCCCGCCGGGGGGCGCGGGCGGCGCGGGCGGCGCGGGCGGCGGCGGCGGAGCTGGGGGGGGGGGGCGGCGGGCTGCGAGGTGCGGGCCGGGCTGCGGAGGGCGGAGGCGGCTTCCCCCCACACACACCCACACCCACACACCCCGGTGCCCGGCGCGCCCCGCGCGCCCGCTGCAAGCGCCGCCCGCCCCCGGCGCGGGCTGGTGCGGAAGGGCGGTGGAGCCCCCGGGTGACTGGCGGGCGGCTGCGCCCCCTCTCGGCGCCCCCCGCACCCCCTCTCCGGTCCGGGGGAGCGTTGGCCGGACGGAGGCGCGCTCGGGGCTCGGCGTCGGCGGGTGGACGCGGTGGAGCTGCGGAAGCTCCTGGCGGATCTGGGGGGGGGGGGGGAATGAGGGGAGGGGGGAGGGGGGGAGAAAAAGAAGAAAAAATATCGCAATCCCAAAAAGGGGAGGGGAGGCACGAGCGCTGGGGCTTTTAGAAACTCCCTTTCGAGGCACCAGCTGGGCTGTTGGAGAAAACCCCGCAGGCGCCTGGGAGAATGGTGCGTGCTTCCCCCCCTTACCCCCCCCCCCCCCCGCCCCAGGTCTCAGCAGCGCCCCGGCTCCGCGCAGCGCAAAGCGCGGGATGCGGCCGCGGCGCGAGTTTCGGCCCGCGCGTGCCGGGGCGCTTGGCCACTCGGGGCTCCCTGGGAATATGATGATCTCAGAGGACCTGGGACTCTGGGGGAGGGTGGGAGTGAGGGGGGGAAATCTCTCCTCCCCCCCTCCCTCCGGCGTCCCAGAGCTTTGTGTGTTCAAGCCCAGGATCGCCGCCCCCAGTTCCAGAAGCCTCTTCTCCAGTGCACCCGGCGACTCCTTCCTCCTCTCCAATTAGCACATCTGGCTCCTCGGGGTCCCTTGATGAGCTGCTTGTGAGAGCAGGCATTGCAGATTTCTGGGACACAGCGGTACCCCCCCCCCAATCCAGGACTGCTAGGGGAAGGAGGTGGGGAGTCTTCCCTTCCTCCGGGCTCAGGTGAAAGGAGAGGGAGACTGAGGCAGAGGCATGGCAGTGCATACGAAACACACCCAACACGCACCCGTGTGCAGGTGGAAGGTGCTGTGACATTGCGGTAGGGTCATGCTCAGTCTGTCCTGTTATGACGTGACTTGGGTGGGGGGAGGTGTCTCTGGCGTGCAAGCTTAAGGCAAGATCCATTTGGCTATCAGACCCTTGCTCACAGCCCCAGACTCCAGGGAGCAGGTGAGGAAAGCTTTGTAAACCAGGCCAGGGGAGGAAAACAATCATAACACCTCTCCCCTTCCTTCTTAATTAAAATGCAGAATTATCCCAGCAGTTTCCAGAACATTAATTCATTTTAATGGGATGTAGCTTGATGGTTTTTAGAGGTGTGCCTTGATCATTAAGAAATACAACACAGTTAGGTCAAAAAAGAAACAAACAAAAAGAGCAGTATCAATATGGCACTTGATGGTAGGTGGGGGGAGGAGCAGCCGTGGCCAAGTGGATTTCTTTAATGCTGAATAGATATTAGATGGTCACAAACAGCATACATCAATTATTTAAGAGCATGCGATCACGCGAAGTGACTTGGCTAACAGGCATTTTTGGCCAATGAGAGGTACCTGGCTCCTAAATGAACAAGAGCAAATGAGTTGTCTTCTTAGGAAAATATATGATAAAGATGGCGTGGTTTAAACCGTCATCCAGAAAAAATAAAATGAAATCATCTTTCTAAGACCCTTTGGGTGGGGGAGGAGTATTGCATCACTTCTCTAATTCAAAATACGGACTCTCACCTCTCAACCACATCAAATTTTTGCAAGAAGGACATTAATTATGAAGGGCATCTCATTTGTTCCAGCTAGCCAAAACGTGCATTGTCTTCAGAATTAAAATGTACTGTGAGACACAGACAATGTACAGGTGTGTCCGTACCCCACAGGTAACACAGAGCCACAGTACCCGACACATGTAGTTATGCAATAAATATTCCCTGAATAAATTAAGGAGCTTGCTCCTTTTAAGACAGAGGGCCAATGTCTTCTGGTATAGGATTCGTCAAGGATCATCTGTATGTCCCCGGTTTAACAGCTGCCTGGTCTCAGTGGCACATATGTTGGATGGGCATAAGTTTGTTGAGTGTCAGGGCAAACGCCCTGCTACCTCTTCAGACTCTCCCTATTCTACCCAAGCTCCAGTGCCACCTCTGTCTCTGGCCGGCTCTGGAAACTGGAGCCACATCCTGGACCTCCTTCTGCTTTACTTTCCTCACCAATAAAATTGAAATCCTTCTACAAACCTACTTAACAATGTTGATATAAGGATTAAGTGATGCACAGTTTTGACATGAAATGAGTACCCATATGGCCTTTAAATTAATAAAAAAAAAAATTAACTTCTAGGAGCCAACTCTGGTGGCACATTTCTGTAATCTCAGCTAGTCAGGAGGGGAAAACAGGAGGATCTAAGTTCCAGGCTGGCATGGGAAAAGTTAGCACAAGATCCTACATAGAAAACAAATGACAGAGCAAAAGGATTGGAATTGTGACTCAAATGGTAAGCACCTAAGCATGAGGTCCTGAATTCAATCCCTAGAGCTGAAAAAAAAAGTTAATTTAGGTAACTTCTAAACGTAAATATTTAGCTTACTACTAGTAACTTAGATCTCCAGCCATTTCCTCCTCATTTTGTGGCTTATGAAATGCTTCTGAGCTCATTTTATAGGCTTATGATACCCTGCCTTTTTTTTCTACAGGTTATCCATCTCAGAAATAAGATTTCTTTCCTTCAGAATTTTAATATCCCCATCATTTATCAAGTTGAGATAGCCAAGAAGGGCTGTTGACGGGACCCACGGTTGGCTAACCATTCAGTGATGCAATTTGAAGTTAATATGAATCTTAACTTACATTCTTGTGATATCAACATTGAAAGCACCTTCCTTGAAGCAGACTGGATATTCAGAAGAATGAAGGAAGATGACAGAGAATGCATTACAGTCCCTTCGCACTGCTTACTTTGCCTTCTTAAGCTTGAGATCCTTTCAGGTAAAATTTTTCTCTAGGCTACTTTTGGAAATTAAATGAGCATATATCAATTACCTGATCCAAAGAAGTTACCTACTTAGCCTACTTCTTCACTTTATTTACTATTAAATCATGTAAGCTAACACTTTCCCAATATGCATCATTTTAACTGCAAAGAATACTTTGAAATCCTGCTTCGGTTTTTATTTACATTTTTGGCTCTTTGTCGATTAAAACCAGCTCTGCAGATATTTAATCTTTTGGATCCAGATTACCTTCTTAAGTTAATTTAGTTCTTAAGCACATCATTGTGATTTCAAATGTAGTATGGCAATCTGCTTTTCTTAACAAAGCATTCTGTCCTTCAGACTCTCCCTGTTCTACCCCAGGAGGCTAATCTAAGTGGGGAAAAATGTAGAATTTGTTTGTCTTTTTATTTCCCAACTTCTGGTCATTTCCATCGCATATAGATACTTATGGCTTCACAACTCTTTCACCCCCATTGATTCTCCAAGGTAAAATACTGAGACAAAGCATGGAGGGAGGGGATTCACTTATGACCTCAATCCCTCCCTTCTCTCCACTCCATTACTATATTCCCTAGAAAGAGTAGCTATACACCAAACAGACAATACTATCATTTACCCATGTGGGTCCAGGACTATTCTTCCATTAAAGACACATGTATAAAAGGCCCAGGTAGAAGGGATGTTGATGTTATAATAAAGGTCAAGAAAACTGACTAACCTTTGGGCAGGCAGGCATTGAGCTGTGTGGATGGCTCGATAGTAGAACTATTCTCTCCATTTAAGTTAGAAGGTACCTGCTGAAAAAGTCCAGAAGATCTCCTGACTCAGAATTATTATGATCTGAAAGCACTGTACCACTAGTTCACACAAGTAATCTTAGCTACTCAGGAGGCTGAGATCTAATTATCTTAGTTCAAATCTAGCCCAAGCAGACAAATCTGAGTCTTATCTCAAATTAACTGGCAAAAAGCTGGAGGTGGAAGTACGGTTCAAGGGTAGAGTGCCAAAGAAGCACATAAGTTCCTGGGTTCAAGCCACATTGCCAGCATAAAAAAAAATACTATTTTAGTTCTCTATATGACAAATCTGTTATTTTTGAATTTCTGCTATGAGCAAGGATTTAGCACTCCTTCATTTATAGACAGAATGTTTGGTAAAGATATATTGAAGATAATGTCAATTTCTATGCTTCAAATAACTAATATGTCTAGATATTTTCCTGAAGTTTTCTCATTCCCATCCTATGTACAAAAACCAGAAAAAAAGTAATACAGTCTTTAATGTACACCTTAGCAGAAAGGACTTAACAGACCATTCCTTGATAGGAATGGTCTCCAGAAGACTAAACAAAAAACAACAATGAAAAAAACCTATATTTATAATGTTAAACCTGAGCTAGAGATATTTAAGAAGATTCAAGAGTGAGAAGTTCCATGGCTTTGCACTAATGAGGAATTCTAAATATTAGCATATAGATTGGCAGAAGATCTCCTGAGAGTAGCCTAGAAAGAAGTTGCCTTTAAAAAAAATAGGCCAGATAACTGGTTTCACAATAAGGGAGGACACCTGGTAGTTTATCGTATAATTATTGTATGTGTACTGCAAATGGCAGTATCCAGTAGCTCATTCCTAGACTGGATTCAGAGAATGACTGCATATACTCATCTCTTACCTTCCTGGCTACTGATAAAAGAGCACCCTGGAGCATAACTGAGAATAACACACGGAACTGGTTAAATCAAAACGTGGTCAGATGTGATGTAATCCTGTGTGCCTGCATGCCTGTAAACCCAGCAATTGAGGGGTTAAGGCAAGGGGATCAGAAATTCAAGGCAAGCTTGGACTATATAAGACTGTGAAAAAAAATGAAAAAAGAGAGGATGGGAGGGAGAGAGGAGAAAGGAGGGAAGGAGGAAAGGAAGGAAGGAGGGAGGAAAGGAAGGAAGGAAGGAAGGAAGGGAGGGAGGAAGGAAGGAAGGAAGGAACAAAGGAAGGGAAGGAGGGAGGGAAAGGGAGAAGAGGGAAGGGAAGGGATTAAATGTGGTCCTTAAAAACATCCACACAAATTCAAAGACATGTCATTCTGAATGATGAAAAGAGCCTGGAACATCTGGGATTACACTCTTGCCCTCTTCTTACTGGCACCACATAGGACTTACCTCACAAAATGACTTCCAGTGTGTGATTAGGAGGCAGCTTCTTTCTCAAGAGAGAGGAAAGACAAATGGCTAGAATGTTAATTTGAGTGCCTGTCTTTCTTGTGCCAACTATAATGGCATGTTTACTCAAAGGCCAGATGCTATGAACTGAACA